TCCTTTTGAAAAGAAAAGAAAAAATGTAAAAAGTATTACAAGGAATTCTATTGATATTCATCTCTTTATTATATTCCAAAAGACATTTAGTAGTATATTACAACTGTTGCCATTCCTGGTTACCAGTAGGCCTATTGTAATTTCGACTTTTGCACCCAATTTAATTAGTTATCTTTGTTACACTACAATTTTGATTTTGTTATCCATTGTTATAAAAAGATTGAGAATGATCCTATTTGTTAGGATTATAATCAATACAATTTGAATTGAATTGAATTGTAGTTTTTTGCTTTGAAAAAAGGGGGGGGGGGGTGGGGGTATGAGCGCATCCATCGCACCCACTTCCAATAGGCGTGCAGAAAGCCTATCTTTATGATTATATTATATTTTTCTAAATTATGCATACCTAAAATGAAGTACAGGAGTCATTGGAGTGTGCAATTTTTAAGTATAAAAGGAATTAGTATGAATAGCACGTACGCGACCACACTAATCAAACCGTTGGTGAAGTACAGTTAACCCTGAGTGTACCGACGCAACCGAAACAGAAACAGAAACAGAATAAATCTTTCAAGTTTAAGACTAGATAAGAATACAATTTAGGAATTATGATGAAATATTCAATCAATGTTATTCAATTCACTCCTAGATCCTAATCAAACTTGGTCAAACACAGTCACATGTGATTCATTTATTGAGACTATCCCATGTTTTTCATGAAAAGGTGTGCAATAGTTTCTAGTACTATCCTGCCATATTTAAGTATGCAATGCGCAGCAGTGTGCATAGAGGTTTAGTGTGTAGTCTCTGTATATGCACAAAAGTACCGGTAATTAAGCCTTTTAAACTGTTGACTCTTTTTGTCAGCAATAATGACATGATGATGAAACAATCTCGAAATTACTTTTCTTTTCGCATCAAATAACAAGGATGCAGGAGTTTTGTTATGTAATGTAAATGATGCATGTTATCAATCGTTCATTGTTCCACAATCTATCTGTTTTCATGCTTTGTGCACGTATTATAAGGCCTGATGGCTTTGTACAATAGATGCATACAGCCTTAACTTGAGTGCAGATAGATCGTATAATGAACTCATTCACATGCATGATTGCATCATTTGGATATTTATATTTGTTATTCTGAGAGAATTTTTAATGAAAAGATCAAGTTTACTTTGGCTAGGACAGTTCTTATTATTTCTATCATTATTATTAGCAGTGGTAGTCTTAGTATTGTTAATATTATTACTATTATTATTGTCAATCGTCATTATTAATTTTATAGTATTAGTACAATAATTATTATTACTATTGTAATTACCATCATCAATATTATTATTATTATTATTATTATTATTACCTCATACTACTTCTACTACTATACTACGATCACTACCACTACCACTACTCCTGCTGCTACTACTACCACTACTACCACTACTACCACTACTACCACTACTACCACTACTACCACTACTACCACTACCATTACCACTACTACCACTACCATTACCACTACTACTGCTGCTACTACTACCACTACTACCACTACTACCACTACTACCACTACTACCACTACTACCACTACCATTACCACTACTACCGCTGCTACTGCTACTACTACTAGTCTACTAGTCTACTACTACTACTACTACTACAGCTACCACTACTACTACCACTACTACTACTACCACTACTACTACCACTACCACTACCACTACCACTACCACTACCACAACCACTACTATTACATGTATGTATGGTTTGTGATGGTGATTCACAGTGACAAAGCCTTCCTTGCGTCCATAGCTCCCTAGAGTTAGATCCATACAAAAATGCTTGAAAATTCAATTTTATCTTGATTATTATCTTGGGAACTCGCCCCCAATATCATTTGATACATGTACCATGTACGGGGGTCGTAAAATGAGCCAATAATTTTTGCAGTCATTCCGATAAGGCCGGTTTTTTAATACATATAAGTCCATTTTCCCCATCACTTTTCGAGCTCAAATTCTGGGCACAATTTAATCTCTTCATTTCTGCTTTAAACTGTTATGTAACAAATACCCATAGGAACATGTTTTCTATTATTGGATGGGTCAATTAATCTCCTGTAGTTGTTGTTGAACGAGGGCTTTGCATCTTTTTAGATCCATATTTTCAGCAGCTTTAAAGGTCTAAAGTTCACTAGCTACAACTTTGATAGACAGAGAGCTACTTGTGTTGCAAAACAGCATTGGACTCGATCTGCGAAAGCAGAGACGCCATTTCTATGCAAGGTTATTAAGGGTCACATCATTGAAAGACTTGTTTGCGAGTGCTAATGAGCTCATTAGCCCTGTAGTGAATGATTAACAGAGGTGTAATAATACCAGTGTCCACTGTTTCGCCAATAGCACCTATTCTTTCAGCATATTAGGAACCGGTATAATGACATCTACAAATGTATCGTTAGAAAAGGAATGTACTGTTACACTTCTACAGTAGCAGTATATGGGGTTTATTTCCGTTTGGTTTATAAGCAGCTTGTCTACTCTCCAAGTGGAATATTTAATTTCACATGGTCTACACCCAGCCCATCTACTATGTACATGGTCTAATGATCATTTGTGTACTTATCACTTGGTCTAATGACCATGTATGCTAGTACTTATTTGGCCTTATTTCCAGTCCATCTCATACCCAGTTTGTCTAATGCTCATTTTGTCTACTATTCATATGGTCTAATAATCATTTAATCATAAAAAATAATCATCATCAAACGATTATTAATAATAAATAATGATAATATTTAGCTTTTATAAAGCACTTAATACAAATGTCTCTAAGCGCTTTACAAATATACTATTATATACCCCCGGTCATTGGATTCAGTGCTTGCCCGCACACATTGTGTGCACAATATCCACTAGATTTTAGACCTTATGGATGGTAGAGGTAGACAAAATGGGCCTTAGACAAACTGGTTATTAGACTAAATGAACAATAGACCAAATGGGTAGAAGACGAAATATTTATTAGACGGTGTGGTACTGTGGATAGTAGACGGGCTGGGCGTAGTCCACATGGAAATAGACTAATTTAGTAGTAGACAAACTAGCTGTAGAGTAGACCAAACAGCAATTCACTGTTTATGGTACAGGCCTCCAATAAATGGAGCTTTAATTGTGCTCCAAGTTAAGTTTGTATGAACAAACCCTTGTCAGTTGTCATTTGTATCAGAGTGTGGGAACTCTGAGCTTTAAGACTCTCTCCCTTGTCATTTCTCTCCTTATCGATTTCCTCGTAATTTCTCGCTTTGGTCATGTTACATTTAGCCAGCCTGGCTTCATTCGTTGAATATTGTATTGTAACCACATTTTTATGTGCATATTAAAAACAACATGCCTTTGGTATATATTTTGGTTCAATATTGTTCACACTATTCAATCTCATTGTAAATCAACCATTATGAGTTCCTGAACTAATAAATAAATAAATTAATTAATAATTTATTTAATTTGTAAATTATAAAAGCATGTATTTGGGCAATACTTTTTAAATTTTTTTCTTAGCAGATGTCAAAAAAACATGTTTACTGGTCAAAAAGGGTTATTTTGGTTAGTATATGAAAATCCAAATTTCGTGAATTTTAAATCATATGTGATAATCTTGCATAGAACAAAATATTCATTGTCTTTGTATTTTCATACTTTTATATGTTGTTCAATAGCTGCTTTTTGTAGAATAAGCATGGTTTTAAAAAAGTAACCATAAAACTCCAACATAAATTTGCATACAACAATTATTCAAGGAGTAAAAAAGACACATATCTTTTGTAAAAGAAGACACTCTTGTACATGTATAAAGTGCCGTTTTAGTACAATAACAGTCATGTATGCTGTCAATTTTAAAATTAAAAATCAGGGGATATTTCATATTTAAGATTTCTGACATAAAAAAATCAGAATGTTTAAGTCGATGCTATTTGATTTTTTAATACAATATAAAAACTGCTCTAATATTGGACAGAAAGGACTTTTTTCATGACCTTACCTTAGTAATTCTGAAAAGAATTCTGCTATTGTAATCATTTTTGCTGAAGTGTTCAAATGCCAAGGAAGTCACCTTTCAAGTGATTGGAGAAGATACAAATTAGTTTAATATTGCAGAGTACCATTTTATTGTGTATCAAAGGCTCATCATAGTTTAATAAGAGAGAGAGAGAGAGAGAGAGAGAGAGAGACACACAATGCACGCACACATAAGTCTCCCTCTCTCTCTCTCTCTCTCTCTCTCTCTCTCTTTAATAACCTATAAGTATTATTTGCAAGGTTAAAAATAAAGGACTGTAATTGAGGTATTGTGTGAGCTTCTCAAATGAAATGGAATTGGATACTTACCGTATTAATCTACTTATTTTAAGGAACTTAAAGTGTTTCTAAGATGGAAGTGAAATGTTATTGCCTAGATACAATCGCTCGTTTTCTTTATATTGGGTGTAAATTTGAATTTCCTTTAAAGTGATAAGTATTTCACTCATTACTTTCGTTTAGTTATCTTGGTATCATCCCCCCTTTGCATGATCAGCACAAAATGTAAGACAGTATTTAGATGGTATCCAACTATCCTTTAATATAGAAAATTTAAACATGAAACTTCTGCATGGATTGGCATTGTACAATAATTTACAGGGTCCCTTCACTACTTTATTTCCAGAGTCTAGATTAAAACTCAAATTCAGGGTTTTTCATCAAATGTGTAACAAGTTTTGATGATTTTATATATTACCTTTGGAAAAAATAAACGTAGTTTTTGTGAATTAAACTACGGGTACCAGGCATTTGTAAAATTTCTGAGATATATTTTTCCTCAAGCCAAAATGATTAACAAAATAATTACCCCTATGACTAGGTAAGCAAAATTTTGATAGCACCCTTAAATTACTGAAACATCTTGGCAATCAATTCACCCCAAACTCCTTGACGAGGGAGGTATGCTGTGTGTGTGTCCCCCTATAAATAGGCCATATATAGTTCTCTTGCATATATCATTTTTTCCTTTCCTGCCAGTCACCACGGTTTCTGCATTTCTCTTTCACCGCCTGTGAATGAGAGCAGAGCCCTTTTTTTAATCCCTCATTTAGCAAGTGCATTAACACAGAAGATCTCATGTGCCAATGTACTGAGAAAATATCACTATGGTAACGACAGAGCCAGGGCTTTTGTGATTTGCTGTGTGAGGCAGGCATGGAACAGTGAGTGTGTAGCATGATTGCTAAGCGAGGGATTGATGGGGGCTGCATGGTGCGGACAACATGGATGATTGGATGGAATAGGCAAGATGTTTACACACTCGTTTAGTAGCTTCTGAACGGCTCAACCAGTGCCCTAGCTACCTCCGTCGTGTATATGTGTGGAGGTGAGGGTTTACAGCTAGCAGTGAGTGTGTGTGGGTGCATGTGTGAGTGTGCGACATACACTGGATGATGCAGCTCTGCGATGTTGTGAAGGCTTCTCTCATTGCAACGAAAGGAAGTGGAGGACAGATCGTGCAATAGTTCTGTGCAAATGCAATTTAGTGTACTGTTAACGTGGTGAATCGGTCTCTCTGAAGAATTGGTCCTGGCCATATTTGGTGGAAATCTTTCTTTTGTTGAGCCGTTGGGAAGCATCAGATGTGATTTTTTTTAAGTGGTGATTTCGAAGATTTAAGGATACTATCTTGTCTGTATTTGTGACTTTATTTTCACAGATGGGGAAACCACATAGTAAGTAGAGCCTAGTATACTTGGGTTATCTAAACAAAATTGCGTAGTTGTCATTTGCATGGATAGGACAAATGAGTATTTATTTGGGCACACGTTACCTACGGCAACTAAACAGTTTAATTAAACATTTTTCTTGTGCACCCCCCCAATAGAATTCAAAGGTTTTTTTTTTTTTTAATTCGATACCAGTGATTTACAAATGATTTTCCTTTTTTCCCCCTTCTTAATTCTTCTCCCCCAAAAAAGTTTTTGCTCATTACGCCACTGCTAAACAGTTTATTTAACAAATCGAAATTTATTCTTTTTACAATAACTGGAGGCATACAGTATACACAATGCACATGACAAATTATTGTTGCAGAATTACATACAGAGGCAATTACCTGCACACAATGAGTATAATAACTATTAGCACATAGCTTGCTCAATCAATGGCAGAGAATGATGTAATAGTTGTTGAGCAGATGACAGATTCTGTTGTCTCAGCTTTCTTTGAACAGCACTTTGGAATAAAAGATTCATTACAAACATTCTGAAATTCTGGTTCACCAAGAGTTTATTTTACTTCAGTCAAATTAGATTTGTTGTAATTCTATTCTGTAAGTGTTTATAGTGTACATCTAGGCTTTTATATGTACATGTACAATTTTGTCTGCACTTAAAATGATTCCATGACATTTGCTCCGGCGACAATTGCTCCGCTGTAAATTTCATACACTAATCGAATGGCTAACTTCAACCCTGGATTCAACACTATACCCTACCCTAAACCTAACCCTAAACCTAACATAAAACCCTATTGAAACCCTAACCCTAACCCTACATCTTAGACGAAATAAAGCCCGGAGCAATTGTCGCAGGAGCAAATGTCGTGTCACCCTTAAAATTAGTGAACTATATTGAAGATGTTATATAGAAATAAATATTATGAGCAAGGGGTATATAAATTTCATCACTATTTACTATCACTGCAAGTTCATGCATTTCATGGTTTAAAGGTGCAATAACTTATTCTTCACATTTTGTCTATGCTTCATGGCCCCCCTTTTTTTATTGCATTAACAATGCTGCTTGACACCAGAAATTTTAAAGTGAAAGAAATTGTAATCTTTAAGAAAAATGAAATCTTTGTGAAATTGTATTCATTTACTAATACAATTTTTTGGAGGTACAAATATGGTAATTCCAGTTTTGTTATGTTAGACTGTCGACCAGTCTTTACATGTGGATGTAAATATTTCTTGATTTGTATAGAAAAAGTGATGCTCAAGCTTGGTCTCGACAGAGAAATAATTAAGAACCCCCCCCCCCCCCCCAAAAAAAAAAAGATTTGCAATTTATCAATAATTTCTTAAAATTTATTTCTTTTTTTATGTTACTCAATACTGCGCTTTGTATCTCTAAAAGTATTTTACGTTCCATCTTACAGATCCTTGTGAACTGCATCGCTGAGACGGAGCACTATCGCCATGGGGACAGGAGCAAGCAGCGCTTCCTCCCGCTCTCCCTCCCCCGAGTTTGCCCAGAACCACCGCAACTCCATGCGCGGCCAGCACCTGGACGCGGACGAAAACAACCGCAAGAACTCGCTGGCCATTTCGGTGGAGAGGGACCGGTGGAAAGGACAGAACGTTATTTGTAACGATGTGGCCCCTGTCGTTATCAGTAAGGACTGTTTCGAGGAGTACCAGTGCCTGTTCCTTGCGGAGACGCAGATGGCCGTTGTGGGTTCCATCAAGAATGGGATGCCAGAACACAACTTGATACAGGTAAGGAGAGAAACCGGTCTTCTTCATTAATCAAAGTTTTCAAGATTTTTTTATCGCTCATTGATTACCGGTAGTGAATTATCTCATTCCCCTTGATAGTTTACCAAACATCTGAACAAATTATTTGTTTATAAACAGCTAGAATGTATCAAATCAACCTATAAATCTTCACCCTCTCTGCTTTCTAATGGATAAGGAGTATTAAGAAAATAATATATTATTAAAAACTGTGCATGCAGAACCCAAGTCACAGTGACTTTGGTTTATTTTATGCAAATTAAATGGAACTACTACATGTATTTTGTAGAATTTAGTAAAAAAGGAACTCTGAACTCTGAATATATTTTGTATAAAAGCTGTGCTTTATAAATTTATTATTACTAACATACAAAATGAAATACTTTGTGCTGATTGGTATCATTTACCAGTGGGTATATTTGGTTCTTGTAAGCAATGGATTCCTTTCATATAGGAGGAAGTCCTTGTATATTTGTTAGTGACATGCCATTAGTCTTATGCTAATGTAGTGGTAGGATTAGGTTCAGGCTTAGGATTGGGGTGTGGCTGAAGGATGAGGCTTATACATGGTCTACTCTATAATGATCCATGGTCTATCATGTCTTTAGGAAAAAGTGAATATTATTGCAATCGTGTGGACTATAGTTGTGGACATAAAAAGATGGAGAGTGTTTTTGTTAGCCTGTAGAGAAAATCATAGAGTTGTCAATTTATGCAGTGAACTTCTTGACTACCAAGTACCAAAAATTTCCTTTCTCTTCATTGATCAGAATTTTATTGATCAAACCTTCATTGACCCATCTCATATTTTTGCTTTTGCTTATTGAAATTAGAGGGACTTTCCCTTTGAGAAATGTTTCTGTGGATTAGCCACCATTTCAACTACCCTAAGCCTGTAACTTTGATATTGACAATAGGGCTCATGATCATGAATCACCAGTGGATTTAGGGGCTCATCTGGCCCCCATGCTCCCCACCCCCTACCCCCCCCCCAACCACGGTCCACCCCTTTTGAAACCCAAGTGACATACCTTAAGCACACAATTCAGAAGTTGGGCCCCATCTGCCTTGAGGAGATGACCTTTTTTCTATGCCCCCCCCCCTCTTTTAAGAAATCCTCTCTACCCTATAATGAATTGTTTATTATGTTACCACGGAGCACAATCTGTCAAGAATATTGTGAAATAAGGAAGCAGGATTTAAAAACCTCATGTGAATTGATGTGACTTAAAGGGCAAGTCCACTTAAAAAATAACTTACTTTCAATAGAAGCAGAGAAATCTGACAAACCAATCAAAAAAAGTTTGAGCAAAATTGGATAACTTATAAGAAAGTTATGAATTTTTAATGACATTAAAAACATTGAAAATCAAAATACAAATTGGCAACTCACTCATGAGTCTGTGACGTCATTGCCTCACTATCCACTAATTGTTTTCTTTATATTGATAATATAAATTTCCAGTTTTCCCCCTAATTTTTTTTATTTCCTCACACGAGCATTGATAGTTGTTTTTGTGTGTATGCACTAATATAGAGTAACTTGGGGAAATAAGATTTTGGGGGGATAAGAAGGGAAATTAATGGGGTAAAGGATTAAAGATAAAGCAATTAATAAATAGTGAGGCATTGACGTCAAAAACTGATAACCAAATTGGCAAATTGTATAGTGATTTTCTAAGTTCCATAGTTTTTCATACTTTGAAAAAAATTCACTACTTTCTTATTATTTTATCAGATTTTACTCAAATGTTTGTCGCTCTGTTTCTCTTGTTTTTCTGCAAATAATCTATTAAAAGAAAATTATTTTTGGAGTGGACTTAGCCTTTAATGTTTGACAGCATCCCATCAAAAACAAAAATGATGTCAATGTTTGTGTGAGTCTTTGTGGATTTAATGGGTCTAATGAGACTATTTAGTCCCAAATTAATCTCCTGTGTACTGTTAACAAGCACTGTATAGTGACTGTGAGGCGAGATGGTGGTGATGTAATGATGTGCAAGTTCCTTCAAGGAGAAAGTGAACAGCAATCGCCCCCAGACAATATTGACCAAATACATTGACAAATATAATACACTTCATGTGGAAGTTAAAAACAGGTACAGCACTGTTTGGGTGCTGTATGCAGTTTTAACTGCGCAAGCTTATTTTATATTTTTTTAATGGGAATTGAAAACTTGTACTTCCTCCTAAAATGCAAAACAGACCCATGTAAAGTAATTATTTAGTTTCTTACATTGAAACAAAATTGCATTTTTCTCTCTAGATTTTCATGATCCTGCATTGATTTGTAAATCGTTTTTTTAAGGGGGAAATAAATTGAATTGAATTGAATTAAATTCAAGGGCTGCATGTGCAAGATAGCTGCACTCCATCCATGATTTCCAATGAATGATATATTTAAAAGTCTAATTTTTAAGGATCAAGGCGACATCATAATAGGGCTCTGCGTCAGACTCAGAATCCTTCTGCCCCAATGGCTCCTCGCACAGCAATCGGCATATAATTGCAATACACAGACACACAACCCCCTTAGGTTTTGTGCGAGTCTCTTGTGCATTGATGGTGTTGGAAACTTGGAATTGATATGCCAGGCAGGTTGGGCCAGGTATATAAATATTGTAATACCTCTCATTTCTGTCATTTTTTTAATAATCCACTTTGGTAGGAATAATACACTGGGGCTCAGTATTGCTTGAATATTGTCATTCGTCATAAAAAAAATCAGATGGATATCAAACTTGCATCAATCTGTTCATGTGAGTTCCCTTACTCTCATTGAAACCAAGTTGAAATGATCTTGAATATTGTATTTCCCTTCCAAGTCTCAAAGGTACATGTACTTTATAGAGATATAGAGAGAAAGAAATAGCATACATGTATGTGTGCCCTGGGAAGAAAGTGAGTGAAAGAGAGAGAGAGAGAGAGAGAGAGAGAGAGAGAGAGAGGGAGAGAAATGGAGAGAGCAAGATAGGAAGATGGGGAAGGAGACAGAGAATGAGAGAGAGGGAGAGAAGACAATAGATAGATAGAAACAGAGAGTCAGTGTGTGAGAAAGAGAGCGAAAGACAGCAAGAGAGAGAGAGAGAGACAATAGATAGAACGAAACAGAGAGTGAGTGTGTGAGAAAGAGAGCGAAAGACAGCAAGAGAGAGAGAGAGACAATAGATAGAACGAAACAGAGAGTGAGTGTGTGAGAAAGAGAGCGAAAGACAGCAAGAGAGAGAGAGAGACAATAGATAGAACGAAACAGAGAGTGAGTGTGTGAGAAAGAGAGCGAAAGACAGCAAGAGAGATCTCGAGACAATAGATAGAACGAAACAGAGAGTGAGTGTGTGAGAAAGAGAGCGAAAGACAGCAAGAGAGAGAGAGAGAGACAATAGATAGAACGAAACAGAGAGTGAGTGTGTGAGAAAGAGAGCGAAAGACAGCAAGAGAGAGAGAGAGACAATAGATAGAACGAAACAGAGAGTCAGTGTGTGAGAAAGAGAGCGAAAGACAGCAAGAGAGAGAGAGAGACAATAGATAGAACGAAACAGAGAGTGAGTGTGTGAGAAAGAGAGCGAAAGACAGCAAGAGAGATCTCGAGACAATACATTGTAGATGATAGATACCGGTAGATAGAAATAGAGTGTGAGTGAGAGAGAGAGAGAAAGAAACAGAGAGAGAGAGAGAAAGAAACAGAAAGAGAGAGAGAGAGAGAGGGAGATAATAAGAGATGAACTTTAATAAAGAGAAAGAGAAAGATTTGTATGTGGCTGTCAATCAGTCTTTCCTATTAAGTGAGACAGTTCTGCGTAGTGAAGCATGCTCGCATGTCTGATTATGCTTTTAATACTTTCATGTGACAACCATGAGCATGAGATGCATTATTCCATCTTGCGGTTTTCTGCTGCGTTTGATCAGTCATTAAATTCATTCCCGGTTCGTCGTGACCTATAAGAGGACGGTTTTGCTTGCTCACGTGGATTAGAGTACACAAGACATCTTCCGCACTGTACTTTGTACATCGAATGAAAGAAATAGAAAAATAAAATATAACTTGATTTTTAATGGGCCATTTTTGTAATGTAATCAAAGTTAATGCACAAATCTTTGTTAAGTGCCTCGTTACCAATTACTTCATTCACCTGTCACGAATAATTGTATCAAAATAGTATGTGTTGTTAGGTAGGATAAGCCATAATCTTTGTCTTGCCTAGCAACAAGTAATGGACCTTGTGGCAGATTAGCCCTGTGCTAAACAAGTTATCCAATAAAGTCTACTACTACTACTATTAAAGGTAATACAAAGTTTTGGTATGGGGTCATGAATTTGGTGCAAATCAACATATTTGAAGCATATGCGATCCTATAATATTCAGTGATCGTTGTCGCGGTTGAAATCGAGTCTAAAGTTATGAAATTATAAATAATAAACTCTTTATGTTGTATAGCTCCCTCTCAAGGTCAAGATATTAATTAAGCTATAGAACAATGTTTCTTGACTAAAATCGACCGATTACATAGCTATTCCCGTTTGGAAATTATATATCACAACTACATGTTCTGAGATTTTCATGGTCGCAGCTAGCATTGTACGGCCATATGCGCTAGAATTGAAATTTATCAAAATTTACCGGGAGCACCAGTAAATTTTTATATTCGATTTTTCTCAAAAGCAGAAATGCTTTAGGGGCTAAATTTTCTAATGCTTATAATACACCCACAGGGGCATCTAAACAAATCAAATTTGTTAAGAATCACTATCCGACCAATTTTCAAAATTTACCAAAACTTTGTATTACCTTTAATGTATGCCATTTTCATTCTGTCTATTGTAATACAATAATTGTTGCTATTATACTATCATATTATTGATGTTGTTACTTACACAGGTATATTATATTCAGTCATTAAATGAAGGAAGTTGCTTTACAAACAAGTAAGCTGGAATTAAATTTCCTTTCTTTAAAGGGACTTATTGCATTCCATCTGGTATTCACGTCAGGTTGCATTGCCTTGGTACATGAACTTTTGTGAAAACATATCCCCATCATGAAAACGTCAGGTAAATTGAATACAAATAATCAAATTTATTTCAAAAATGATCCTTGAGATAAGGCTATTTTTTTTGCATTTTTCGGCGTAAATATTCATAAATGAATGACACACGCCTTTAAGACTAAAACAACAACAACAAAATTCCTTTTTGAAAACATGCCAGTACAATGATGAAGTGTCGATCACAAGCCTACAACCTCTTGTGATTTTTAATCTCATATTAAAAAATGTTGTGTTGAGACAAGAGTTTTCATAGATATGCAGTATGTTTTTCAGAAAGTTTTGGATATTAACTTGAGTCCACACTGGTGATAAAAGGATTGTATTTCACAAACGCTTAACTGACCCTTTGGTTTTTTTGGCTTGATTATCTACAAAAGTTTGTGTAACCCGACCACCCAATCCGATGCGAAGACGTGATGGGTTAAACTTGACAAAGAAAGCCCCTTGAAAGATCTTCACATATATATATGTTCAATTCATGTGAATACCAGTAATTCACAGTGGACACTCAACTGATGAATGCATGCAGGCTCATTAATCATGTACCCACCCATATACTCGTTGAAAACATTTTGTGTCCGGATCATGAATCAAGTGTTTAGGTGACAAGTATGTCTCCTTTCTCAGAATTATAGGAAGCAGGCTTCTTTATGTGCTTGATTTAATTAATAAAAACCAATAAAGCAATCACATAGTTACCAAGAATCAAGTCGTCTGTTTGGCGTCAGAAGGGCATTTTGCTCATGTTTTAACACAAAGTTAACGCCATTTTGGTAATGAATGGACAAAGTAAGAAATGAGATGTGGAATTATTAGAATGATATAGCATAATTTGTTAGACATTTGTGAGAATAAGGTTCTTTTATTTTTGTATTGTATCATGTCATGATCTTTATTGATTAGGGTACTAACACCCAAGTCACACCACCAAACTGACACAAAATACCCCAATTTATCTCAGCTATTACGGGGGTAAGCCGACTTTGGTAATTAAAAAAAATATAAAAAAGATGTCCATAAGCGCTTTAATACCCCGATCATTGGATTCAATACTTGCCCGCACATAATGTGTGCACAATCTTCACTCCCTGGGTAGCATTCCAGCCAGGCGTTACTTGACGCTCAAAATTTGTTTGACCAACAATGACAATCGCATCCTACCACTCAGCCACGACACTCCTGTACTTGCAATACAATAATTTATTATGTTTTCTGTTAATATAATCCTCACTTATAAATCTTTTATTCTATTTTTATGTGTTTAGGAAAAGTATTTCATGGTTGCTGACCAATTCAAAGACATCGATGAGCTCAACACAACACTGAAGTATGGAGCACCAAACTTTCGGAAAGCTCATGGGGGCTACCCCGTGTACGGCATGGGCCAACCTACCTCTGACGGCCTGAAACGAGCTATGGAGTATCTGGAACATGAAAAGTATTCGGTAGGTGCAACCAGATTCATTTACCCTTTTTAAAGCCCGACTGCACTATAGCTACTTGCTCCTTCTTTATAGCAAACAATGCCCAATCGGTGACCATTGGTCCCCCAGGATCCCCTTTTTCATGTTTATTGAGAGCTTATTGGTGAAATAACCACCTGTCAGTTACCATGCAGGGAGGTCTAATCCCTCGTGGACAAACTAGTGCAGTGGGGCTGTAAAACGAGTGAAATATGCTTAAATGTCCTTATACAAGACATTTCTATTTACTTTGCCACTCTCAACCCGGGTGTTGAATGGGTATCCATTAGAATGTGAAAGTCATTGTGCTTTGGTGGAATAGAAATATACATATGTCCATGACCAAGACATTTTAAACTATACTTTGCCCCCTCAACTCAGGTTATTCATTAGAATAAGAAAGTCATTTTGGTTTATTCAGCATTGTCAGTGTCTGTGAAAAGGCCCCCAGGCTGGAATGCTCCCCAAGGTGTGGAGAATGTGCACACATAGCTTGTGGCTAAGTCTTTTAATCATAATTTCTTCTGCATCACCCCTATCCCACATTTATCAATGAAGATTCATTTTGCATCACTCTAGCACTCGTATGGTCTCTTGACACTTGTCTCTAAATTTTGCGAGCAAGTGAGTGAGAGAGAAAGAAAAGTGAGAAAGAAAAGAGAGAAAAAAAAGAGAGAAGGAAAAGAGAGAAAGAAAAGAGAGAAAGAAAAGAGAGAAAGAAAAGAGAGAAAGAAAAGAGAGAAAGAAAAGAGAGAAATGAAAATGAAATGAATTTAAACAAAGAATTATAATCCTTGATATGAGTTGCCTGACTCTCATTGCAGTCAGGCCAGGAGGTTTCTCTGTAATGTTGTCATGGCAACAGCATGGTGATGGCTGATTACCTATAGTGTGCTAATGGCTGTCACTGTGATTTCTTCCCTGATCTGCACTGTCACACACCCGTATTAACCTGCCTAGCGTGAAAGGAATAAAGTGTTGCGTTCTTCATTGTGGACATGGGCTTGATCCAGTCACCTTTGATTTTGCAGATATGACGCGGCAAAAACGTGGCAGTTTCTTTATGATGACGTGAAGTGTAATACGCTTGACATTTATCTATCTTAACATGGAGCTCAGTGCATTTGCAAGTCCTTTGTTGCATGCAGTTGCAAGTCATTTACATTAAAAAAGGGTGGCACGTTTTTTTTTTTTTGTGGCGGAATATCGTGCCATATCTGAACAAGCCTTAATTGGCAATTCATTGTACACTGTACATTTTGGTTTACAATGTCGGTAGTGTTCATATTCAGGGGTATTAATTATCGTTTAATAGTGGAGTCTGAAATGGCCTGGCCGGCTGGCCCTATTCTGCATACTTTCATGTCTTTTTCCACAAAATATGACCCCTTTTGCATATAAGATCAGGTACAAATTGAGCTCTACACACAAATACAACCCTATTTTGCGCCTATTGAGTACATATTCTTAAAAAGTAGAACTTCCCTCTTTTCACAAAAGTGGAAATAAACACACCTCTTTACATGCATGTTCTTGGATATCTTGAAAATATGCTCCTTTTTTTCTTGCTCTTTCAACAAAAAAAACCTTGTTTTTATAGTAAATCCACAAAAAACGTCAATGTTCCACATAACATTTTGTTTAATGAATTCTAAAAATCAACCCTTCATGTGTACTGGAGTCAATGAGAAGTGATACCATGGCACTCAGGCCTAGGGGTAGACTTACATGTATGTATTTTTCCTGAAGTTTACATATATTGCAGTCGAATAGGCTATTTTTATAATGTAACCAAATCTAATGCATACGTCTTTGTAAACTGTAAAGTGCCTTGATACAAAATATTTCTTCCATCTGTTATGAATAATTGTACAGTAATGGGCAGAATGCAAACTTTTATGCATTTAATTTGGTTGCATTACGAAAATGGTCACATACAATGAACGACTAAATTATTCACACCTAGCTTACCAAGTTTTGTCATTTTTCTAAGTACGTGAGAAATTGATTTGTTTCCCGAGCATGTGACATATTAAACGGATCGTTTAACAATGTTAAATCTGAGATACACGGTCCTACATGTTACCGGTGTCTGTGATATGGTGTAATACTGAAGCCCTAAAAAATCGCGCTTCAAAATGATCAAGAAGTGCCTCAAAAGAGTAAAAATCTTTGAGTGACCGGTTTTACCATACTCGTTTTCCCCAATATACTGTAGTGTTATGAACACCGTTCGGCAAACAGTTTTCAAAATAAGTGTAATTCCAATCATTAATATCTTGATAATCAGACAGGCAATCTGCTTGTAAAGGTTATGGAGTTCCTGACTGACCTACAGGTTTATAATTATCATTGCAGCATGAGCTAAATCAAGGATTATTTCTAAAGGATCTAAGACAAAGTTACCGGATCCCTTTAAAGCTTATGTCTAAAAGCATTCAACAAAGCCCTAATTCAACCTGTCTACCTGTCTTGTCTTGAGATACAAAAAACAGCGACAAAAATCAAATTTATAAGGAACATTAACAATTCAGTTGTTAATTCTACGGGTACATTTTTTATTTCAATTCTAATTTCAGAAATAAAGGATTTGTTACTAATGGAAATGGTAAAAGATTATCGTGAGGTACATTTCTTTTTCATTATGAAATGTCTGTCTCTGCAGAGTGGCCTTTTAATTGCTTGTTCGGGGGATAGACATATTAAGGCACAGAGACAAAGTTCAGTTCTTGTAATTACAAATACCAAATAAACAAAGGAAGATGAGCATATCACGTCTCAGTGAAGCAGTGGAAAAGAACACAGTAGCTGAGAGTAATTTGGCTCTGTAGAAAGAAAAAAAAAGGAGAGAGAGATGAAGAAGAAGGAGAAGAAATAGAAGAAGAAAAAAAGAGAAGAAGGTGCAGAAGAAGAAGGAGAAAGAAGATAAAGGCCTCAAAGAAGAAGGAGGAGGAGGAGGAGGGGTAAGGGGAGGGGAAGGAGAGGGGGAGGAGGGAGGAGGAGAGGGAGGAGGAGGAGGAGGAGGAGGAGGAGGAGGAGGAGGAGGAGGAGGAGGAGGAGGAGGAGGAGGAAAAGAAGATGAAGTCTTTCTTTTGCTGTACTTACCATATAGTAAATATATATTTACGGAAATACAGAAATAATAAGAAAGTTGAGATGCAGCAGGGCTCAAACTCACAAATAACCGGTAAAACATGTCATCATTTTGTTTCTTGTAGTACTAGCACGGCAACAGGTTCATATAAATGATTCATAATTATAGACTTTTATCTGATAGAAACGTGAGGTTTCACCATGATTAACAATTTAGAATGACTTGCAGGTTGATTATCTCAAAATACTTAAAGTATGAGAGGATTAGAGAACTTTAATAATGTCATCCTGGTTCTCTTAAGAAGAATTTTAACTTGAATGTAAATCATAAACTATAGATTACAACTCTGCTTCTCACGTATTCCTTTCCAGGAAATCCTTGTGATCAACATCCGGTATGAACCGGTAGTGTTCGTGAAGCGGGGGAGGGATTACGTTTCTTACACACCCCGCGAGAGAGACAACCTGACGAGGAACGTCATCACACGTCCACATGTTGATGACGTCGTGGCTCAGGAAGCAGCAATACGTAAAGAGGTCAGTATGGGACTATGGGCATGATAGGGAACTGTTTAGTGAAGTATATCTATCTATCAGGCTATAGTTCATCCAGACGTTGGACAAAGCCCTCGTAACATTTCCATTCTCTTCTGTCTCTAGCTATCCTAGTCCACGTGGCCATTCCCATTTATGATGTTAGATCATCTCTCCATCTTCTCTTCTGCCTTCCTCTTCTTCTTTTTTCCATCCTTGGTTGCCATTCTGTTAAATGGTTTGAAGTATAAGTGGAATACACACGTACAAACCTCTTCTGTAGTTTTCTCACCAGTTAAGATGGTTTAATTGTCATGTACGATATTGATTACTCGGCATTTCAGTTCCAAGGGAAGGGGGGGGATCGTGTTTTATCCTCTATTTCCTTTACCTTTAGTTGAATTCCTCCAAAGCTTTCCTATAATCCGGTGAAGACGGTTTAATTATTATTTAAAGCCATGCACCAATTGTATCCACGGGGAGGCAAATCTTGATTTATCCTCTTCTTTCTTCTTCTTTTTGTTGGAATTCCTCCAAAGCTTTGTAACATGGTTAAGATGGTTAAATCTCTATTTTATTAAAGATGGTGATTACGAACCATTTCCATTCCGTGGGGTCCAAGAAAAGTCATGCTTTATACCCTTATTTCTTTGTCTTTTAGTTTTTATAATTTCTTCAGTCTTAAGAGAACTCAAGGATACTGAGAATTCCTAGATGAGTGTGTATAAACCATTAAATGAAAAGATTTGAAATACGAATTTCAAAATTGAAAAATTCCTAGTCTAATGGCAATGTTGATATAGCTCAAAACCACTAATATATTACTGGTTAATTTTGCATTTTTTAAAGATAAACATCCCAAGCTTTCAAATTATACTTAGCAACTGTCTAGCACTTGTTGATATTGATGATATTCAATAGTTATTGTTATTATTATCCTCATCACCATCATCATCATCTTCATGATCATCATCATCGTCGTCATCATCATCATCATCATCATCCTCATCATCATCATCATCATCATCATCATCATCATCATCATCATCATCATCATCATCATCATCATCATCATCATATGATGCACTCAATTTTAATGATGTTGTACATCACCTATGAATATTGCTCTGATGAATGAATAAAACTATGAATATGGGTCTTTAAAGTGACTCGGTAACATTGTTGAAGGTTGATGAAAAAACTGTGTAATTTTTGTATGAAATGTTACTTAATTATTCCTTCTACTGTACTAACCCTCTAACATGCTAAAAATCCTGATTTTTTTTTAAAACCACAAAGACATTAATGGTTTTCTTTGAAAGTGTCACTGTGCGACACCCTCTAACAGTAAATTCTCCCAACCATTTGTGAATTTTCCCGACCGTTTTTCCATGAAAATAAGACATAAAACAGGCTTTGAAAAATCTGTCAACACTTAAATGTCTGGAATGGTATATATACAGCCAATTCATTGCTTTGTGGCGATGAACATTCTCCTAAAATTTAATTAAATTTCAATAATATAGTTGGGAGAATTAAGGAATCAATCATTTTTATCATTAATAATGGTCTGTTTTCACCCAAAGTTCAGATTATCTTTAATTATTTAGCATTGAAGTCACTACCTTAGCACCATTTTCTCTCATCTGAACAATGTTACCAAGCCCCTTTAATGCAAATCATTGAAATTTATATTGGTTACGAAATGAAAATTCCCCCCCACAGCAGAAATTTATCAATTAACTTCTTGCAATGTGGGGTTGTCATGTGGACAAAGAAAACAAATAAACACTATTAACAGAGACAATTTTCTCTTTTGTGCCGCAGAAATCTATGCTACGTACCTCAATAATTTTGCTTGAAATGATTTCTATGTAATCGTCCTCTTCCAAAATATGAAATGGTCTATTGTCCAGTGGTTAAAGGGAATATTGATTCGTCCAGTTCGCGTGGATCATCTTTGAATGGTTGATGCTTCGACCCTGAATATGAATTTTATTTATTGTTTTCAGATCGTGCATTTTGCTCTGATCAACGCGGACAACGAATATGCCTTTTACGATGACATCGAAGACCTTTCGGACGAACCTCACCTCAATCAGCTCACGTTCATAGAAGACATTCAAACGACCAGTGAAGTATACAGTCTTCATTCGTTTGGGATCCACAATGCATCATTCACAAGGGTACCCATGTCATCGTCGAAAACTCCAATCAATGAAGTTATCGATCAGCTGTTGAATGCGGTTAAGGTAGGTCATTATGAGTGCATCAAAGATTTTCTGATTCAACAGTCACAAATTCTTTAAACACCTAAAAGTTTAGGTCTCATAATATTTTTTACTGCCTGCTGAGAGTCTTTCTTTTTTGTACCTTTTAACAATGGTTAGTCTCTTGGATCGGAATTTAAGGAGTAAGTAGGTTACCATCTGAATAGAACAACACCAGTGTACATCTGCTTTAAATACAGCGCATTTCTTTGAAAGAGAATGATTTAAAGTGAGTAATGTGAAAAGCAGATTGCACTTAATGGATTTACTGTCATGTATCAGGCAATGTAATCTGCAGGCTATTGATAGATTCTAAGTATCTGCATGATCATGCTCATTTGGGGGACAATTGATAGTGAACTGAACAACTGAATTACAAGACAAATTTTTTAATGGTCACATGCATGACCGGGCTAGATTCTTATTCTAAGAATCTGCTCGTGCTCATTTTTAGTGTTGTGCCTTTAAGTGACATTTCCTAATGAACTGAACAACAGAATTAAAGGTCAGGGAAGGAAATTAAAGCAAAGAGAGGTTCAGTGATTGATTATTAATTGCTTTTGATGCGGGTGAAATCAATTTCGACATGGTTGATTTAAATATGTAGTCCTTCAATCAATGATTACAAGCTCTATCATAAAGGGTGGTATCAAATAAAAGGGAAGGAAATGACTTTTGGATGTGTAATAAAATAAATCTAGGAATATTTACAGGAAAGTTTATTTTCTTCTTCTAGACTCAACACCCTGTATATCATTAAAATGGTTTATTATTAAAATTCTTTGTCAGTTTTGATACATGTAGTATGTATACATTTAGATACTTGTACATGTAAATGCATTCATAATTGAATTTTCCAGTTGTGGCAGGTGAATTTCCCCACGGAATATGCAATTACATAGAGTACATAAATGGATAAAAACTTAGAATGACAGTTTTTTTTATTATATGTATTTGACATATTTTCTTTCTCATTCATTGCTCAAGTAAATGAAAACTGTTCAGCCAGGTAAAATTGATTACCGTTATTGTTACTTAGAATTCAGTCAAGTACTTATAAAATTGCCAAAGAAAGAAAGAGGTTGATTTTTATTAGGGTATAAGGAGAAAGTGCTTGTAGTACAAATTAGATAAATGAAACAAATAAGTTGAATGAAATGCATAGACAATGCAATTGTGAATTACAGCACATTCTGTCCTACTGGAGTGAATACGTCTCAGAGATGTGTACCAATTCAGTTTGTGTGTGAGCCATGCTACCATGGCAACAACCGATGGATATATACGCACTATAAATTTGGGTGGGCATGTGTGTATGTTGGCCTATTTACACACAATCCCAAAACCATTTGAAAAAGACAACAACAAAAAACCCAGAATGATTCACCCGTGTCTTGAGAGCGAGCATTAATTTACACTGTAAAAACAGGTAAAGTTTCTGCTGGTAGTTAAACAAAAACAAATCATACTTCGGAGGTGCATGTTTATTCGTTTTGGATTTTTAAATGTGTTTTTGAGTAGTTGCTTATCAATTCCAACAAAATACCAGAATGTGAGTAAAATTAAACCATCATGTTTTCTATAAAGATTGAAAAAAAATATGTAAAACATTACCGAAAGGTGAAAATTGGCTCTGATTTCCCTTCCCTTGTCTATTTTGTCTTTGTTGCACATCGTCTTGACACCTTGTTACACGCTACCCAGTAAACACTCATTAGAATGTGTATCTTTGTTTTCCATCGATCAGGAGGTGCCCTCGTTGTTCAGTAATGAGGAATCGTCGCTACCGATCCTCGTCTTCACGGGTCACATGGGAGGAGGTCGTACCACTTTCGCCATGTCCCTGGGGATCTTAATTATGGCGCATCAGAGAGGCTTCCCCGCTCATGTATAGTATGTGATTTTCTCTTTTATTTCATTAATATACATCTTTATGTCAGGGAAAAAAATACTTTAAAAATTTTGGGGGGCTACTTTTCTAGCTTGCTTGCATGAAAACTCTATGCAAATTTTTTTTGGCTCTTTTATGACGTTCGGGGGCTCTTTTTCGCATTTCGGGGGCTAATTTGCCCCAAGGCCCTGAGCCCCCGTGTATTTTTTCACTGCTTTATGTTATACCATGGTATATACAGTAGGCCTGCAGTTGCACCATGTGAGAGAAAGAGAGGATTGAGGAGTCCTGAAAAGGACTCTTGGTAATCTTACTTGAGTGTGTGTAGTCCTGAAAAGGACTGCTGGTGTAGTCTTGGTATATATTTTATTTTTTGTTTTAAAGCCCTTTCCTCCTTCAAGAGGCTTTCTTGCTCATGTATAGTATGTTATTTTCTCTTTTTATTTCATTACACATCTTTATGTTATGCCATGGTATATATTTGTAATTTTTTTTAAAGCCCTTTTCTCCTCCAAGGGGCTTTCCTGCTGATGTATAGTATGTAATTTGCCGTTTTTTCATTCCATGTTTTATGCTATTCTGTGATATACATTTGTATATTTTATCTTAAAGGCCCTTTCTCCTTTAAGGGGTTTCCTATCCCGTTTTTTACTATGTCACATTTTCTGTACTGCCACTCCATTTATAGTATTTATTTTGTATAATGGCGCTTTCCTCTTTTAAGCAGCTTCCTACCCCTGTGTAAATGTAATGATGATGATGATGATGATGATAACAATAATAATTATGATAATAATAATGATAATGATAATGATAATGATAACAATAACAATAATAATGAAAATAAGTATAATAATAACAACAACATCAATATCATGAACAGCATCATGAACAACATCAGGAACAACAATGATCTGGATTTATATAGCGTTAAAAAGAAATGTCCTCTCTAAGTGCTTTACAGATATGATTACCCGGGTCATCAGATTCATTCATGCACAATGTGCACCATCTCCACTCCCTGAGGAGTATTCCTACCATTTGGTCACCATGAGGAGTATAGCAATTACTAACACGCGGTCATCCTACCAGGTCCCCATTTTTCTTCTGGTTATGGGGTGGCAAGTATAGATTAATGATTTCCAAAGGATATGAGTGCCATATCGAGGATTAAACCAACGACCTTTACATTTGAGGTCAAGTGATTTGTTAATAATGTTTTGTGATTAGTTTTCTCCTTCTGATAAGGAGTAGAATATTTTGGGAGAAGAATAGAGCAGGGACAACAAAAAGGAAGAAAAATGCCGGAAGGGGAGAAGAATTCTTGGAACAGGAAAACAAAATGTTAAGAAAATAACTGCATCATGTTTACATTAAGAAAAACACATAAATCCTTGTTTGAATGAATTGAATTCATGTTTTTGTTATTGCTAGTTTGGTTTCATACTTTTCATATTCTATGACCTCCGTGGAACTATAGTCCTCATCGCTGAACAATGAACAAGGAATTCAATAACACCTATAACTGATTAATCATGGGGTAATCATGAATAAGAGTATTTACAGTCATTAGCTAGGCTTATTGGAAAAAATTGTATATGTCTGACCGTAACAATACAGTTCATTTTCTTATTTCTGCGTGTAATTATGCCCGTAGGAATAGTGTTTGTACAAATCTGTGTACATGTTGCATGAAATAGAGGAATACAGAAGTCTAAGAAAAACCTTGGGTAGTTGAATTTACATAGAAAAACAAGATTTCATTTCCTGGGGATCACAGGCTAATTATAGATTAAGTCAAAGGGATTGGGTATCTTTGCCTCTGATTCTAAACAAAATCCTGGAGTTGGCTTATGCTGCAATCATAATTATAAACCTTTAGGTCATTCAGGAATCCCATGACTAATACCAGCCGACCGCCTGTCTGATTATCAAGATATTTATGATTGGAAATCGAAATTTCAAAAACGTTTTCTTAACAGTTTTTTATAATACTACAGTCTATTGGGGAAAATGAGTATGGTAAAACCGGTTATTCAAAGGTTTTTACTATTTTGAGGCAGTTAATGATCATTTTAAAGCGCAATGCTTTTAAGGCTTCAATATTACACCATATCACAGACACTGATAACACGTATGGCCATGCATCTCAGATTTAACATTATTAAATGATGAATGACCATCTCTGCAGTCGACTGTTTATCCATGGACCTACTAAGAAGTTTCTTAGTAGGTCCATGGTTTATGACACTCATAGTACCAAACAAAATCATGTTTTATTTTAAATCTCCATTTATATTCCTTGTTCATGCATTGTGTTGATATTTTATTTCTATTGCATGGATTACATAGACAGCCTTGTCTATATATAGGAAGTAAATTGAAATTATTGTCAACCTAATTAAAATAAAGGTTTTCTAATAAAAATTGTCTTGCTATCTATAGGTAAAATTAAATCTTATTGAGACAAAAGTAAGAGCAGGACAAAAAAGTCCCTTATTCACAGCATTATGTGTGTTTAGTTTAAAAGTATAATTGAAACTTAAAGTCTAGAATGTGGTGTTCAGATCGCCTTGGAAAAGTATGCAAAGTTCCTTGCAAATTTCATTCCGGAGGGAAGTATTTGTATCAGTGTTTGTTTGCCTGAGGTTGACTGAATGGAGCCAAAACTCTTGGCGTGCTGGCGCAGTGAAGTGCGTCTCTACAAAGGATATCATTTTCATAAATATCTCACTACATTGGGCTTGGAGGTGGAAGAAATGGTTCAAAAATATATATTTTTTTAATCTAAAAGTTCAATTTTCATTACAGCCCCCAATGTGAAATATCACCTTTTAGAGAGTAAATGTAAAATTTAAAAATGAATGTATGAAAATATCTATGTCTTTGACTTCCTGTCAATTTGATCATGTTCATGTAGTATATAGTTTTAGTAATTTTGGATATATATGTAGTTTTAAGCATGTTTTTCATTGTTTTTAGGCTTTAATCATGTTATAAGTGCTGCAATCTATCAAAATTTAGCCAATGCCTACCTACGATGAAATGTTAATAAAACCATCAATTTAATCCCATTCTCTTTAGCGATTCTCATCCATCCAACGACGGGTCACCCAAACTGGAGCTCGGTGAGTTCTGGGCCATCATGAAGGTGTGTAGTCTGCTTCCTGATGGTATGAAGCGCAAGAGGGAGGTAAGTCACGTTTGAAATAATCTTTAAAAATATCTGTTAATTTAGTCTATGATTGATTACCAATACCTTTCATGTCTGTACCTCTGCTATTGTACTTTTGTCCATTTATCATGTATTTCATCTTTTGCACAAGCTGCGCCTTGAGCATTTGATTGTCAAGTGGATTTGGCACCTTACAAATCTCATGTATTATTATTAAAATGAATGAAAATCTAAAGGTCATCTCTACTTCTATCAGCAAGACAAAAAACATAAAACAAAAACAAAAGTCAAAATGTGGATTTTTTAATTTGGTCTTATTGTTGCTGTTCCATTCATATAAATATATATATGTTCCATTTCTGGCAAGCTGATGTTACCTGCCTTTTTATTGAGAGCCATGCAGAAGATGCCATGAGGGCGAAGAGGGTGGGGGGGGGGGGAGGGGTGGAAGCAGGGGGGCTTACATACCAGTTGTCTTCGTTCACATCTTCACAACATAGCAATTGCCAAAACAGTATTCATTGGTGATTAAAAAGGAAAATGGCAGCAAACTTTAATTTGCCAGTACAATTCTGAGAATGGTATTTGAGCCATAGACATAAAAACTGTCAGAGGTAAATTCCTAGTTGATGTGCCTCAGAACTAATTACTTATGATTTAACCATCAGAGTTTTTTCAAATTGTTTACCATTATGACCTAAATCAAGAAGAAATAGTACCTATCATAAATTCCATGTTAATGACCCCCCCCCCACCCCCATCAGGTGCTTATCACACTCTTTAAATTATTTTTTTTCTAGGTGGATTCGATCTTAGATCTCTGTGCGGACATGGGCAACATACGAGAGAAGATTGTGGAATGCCATAACAAGCTTCAAGAAATACAGGAGGACTACCAAATAGCGGTGAGTTCATTTATTCAAGAGGGTGGGATCCATCGTGAAATTCAACTCCAGTAATAGATAATGCAGTCTCACAGGCGCGTAGCCGGGGGAGGGGGGGGGGGAGACGTGGGGTTCAGTTGCTCCCAAAAAAAAACGCCGGCCAAAAAAAAAAAAGAGAAAGAAGAAATGACGCAGGAAGAAAAGGGATTAAGAGTCGAGAACGGTACAACGAATCGTCTTCTTTCTTTAATAATTTAATGAAACGTCAGAGCTTCCGTCTTACTCGCGGAGGAAGGGAAACTTGATTTAAACAAGGATTAAGAGTCAAGAACGGTACAACGAATCATCTTCTTTCTCTAATAATTTAATGAAACTTCAAAAGAAACTGAATTTAGACAAGGATTAAGCATTGGAAACGGTACAACGAATCGTCTTCTTTCTCTAATAATTTAATGAAACGTCAAAGCTTCCTGCACCCACCCCCTAGGGAGCGCATTTTGCGCGCTCTGTAAGTGATTTGCACGCTTTGCGTGCTCACTACCGCCCACCCTCAAATAAAATCCTGGCTACGCACTTGTACTACCAAACCGACTCCAAGCCGTCCAATTCGTGGAAGGCTTTAACAAGATGATGATAATAATGATATACATAAAGTTCATTTGCTCTGTACCATATACAGTGCGTCCCAGAAAAAACGAAACCGAAAAGTATCGATGTTTTATCATAACTTAATCACAACCATAATTAATGAATGATACATATTTGGAAAGCTTAGAGTCTCCTCTTTCAGTTGATGCTACTCAGATGATGCATATTTCACGCATGAGTGATTAAAAGCAATTTGAAGGAAGGAAACCAAAAAGACATTTGGCAGGTGGTATCTGAATTTCGAAGAAAAATTCACATTTCTAGAAAGTTGAGTTTCTGCCCTTTCATATGACACCTCAATCAGGAAAAAATGAGCGAGGAATAACAAAGTTCTGTTTGTTTAAAGTAGCCCTTACATTTTCATAATTTTAACAAACTAATTCGTTTTCACTGGGTGCCTGCCGTAGCAAAAAGCAGATTTGACAAAAGACTTAACTCCGTTTCGTTGACAATCAGCCATGCATGAAGACTCTTGTCTACGACTGATTGTCAACGAAACGGAGTTAAGTCTTTTGTTAATTTCGTTTATTGATACGGCGGGCAGCCAGTGAAAACGAATTCGTTTAATAAAATTATGGAAATGCAAGCACTACTTTTCTTCGAAATTCAAATACCGCCCGCCAAATGTCTTTTTGGTTTCCTTCCTTCAAATTACTTTTAATCACTCATGTGTGAAATATGCATCATCTGAGTAGCATCACATGAAAGAGGAGACTCTAAGCTTTCCAAATATGTATCATTCATTAATTATAGTTGTGATTAAGTTGTGATAGAACATCGATACTTCTCGGTTTCATTTTTTCTGGGACGCACTGTATGTAACACAGGTGAGATTTGATAGGAAGGAAGGAAGGAAGAGAAATTACCCATCACAATGACCTCTATCAAGCCGTAGATGTAAAGCAGAAATTAATTTACTTTTGAATTACATGTTAGAAGTGTTCACATTATGCAACTAAATTATACAAAAGATATACTGTATAATATCCATGGTTTCCATGCAGGAGCATTGTAAGTCAGTGTTTTCTTTTGTATATTTCATACACTGTATGTGTGTTGCCATGGCATAAGCCAAACACAGAAGCAAATTTTTTTCCTTGATTGATTATGCACTTCCGTGTAAGTACTGAAATTTGAATTATTTATGTTGTTGCCATGGACATGTATTTGTATCCATGCATCCCTCTAAGCATGGAGGCTTAGCTGATCTAAAAGCGTTTACTGGTACCTTCAATGTTCCAAATAATTGATATACACCTATACACTTGTAGGTGCTACACAAAACCTTTTACTACCATTGGCAATGGCGATGGTGTGCATGGCCTTTAAATATCTTAAATTTTACATTAACCAAGAAAATAAAACAAAATAGACATTTACATGTAAGTTGTAATTAAAGTGTGTGCTTTAATTGTTGATATGTCACACATATAAGCTCCCTGTGTGACGTTGTATTAATTATCATGGGATATATTTACCAAAGGCTTTGAGATTATTTACCTGTTTCCAGTGCAAGCTTTAAATTTCAGGGCTAGAATATGCTTGGAGTCTTTCTTTAAATTGTTTAATATATATTTCAGAAAGCAACAATATTTTATTCTCAAATATGGAGATGAGATTTTTTAATTTTATGGTTTGATATGTTTATCTTTTCAAGGTCTAGTATATTTGGGAGTCTTTCTTTAATTTAAAAAAAATTATATGTCAGGAAGCAAAAATGTTTTACTCTTAAAATTGGAGATGAGATGTGTGTTTTATAGTTTGATGTTGTTTATCTTTTCAGGGTCAGAGTGCTCGTGAGTATTACTTGGAGAACGCGCTCAGATATCTGAAACGATACTGTTATCTGATCATCTTCAACAGTTACTTACACGAACAGGTAACTAAAACTTAATGACCTTTAACCGTTAGTCTGGTCAGTACCTTGAACAGCTTTCCCAATGCATATATGAAATCAATTCATATGGAGTTTATGGTATCAAAATCTGACCAATCTACAGGATGTGTGTGAAATTGAGAATTTAGTTTGATGTTTGGTATATTTTTGTGTTATATTATCATTCTTCTTGCACTTAATCATAGAATGGTGATATGAACATGTTGATTGTCCCCAAATAAGACTTATTTGTAACATTCTATATTTTCTTATACTAGACAGAAGCAGAGAGAGAGAGAGAGAGAGAGAGAGAACGGGGGCGTAGACAGAAATAGGAGGTAGAGAGAATGAGAGAGAGAGAGAGAGAGAGAGGGGTATCAAAGTGCAGAAAGAGAGGGGAGATGAATACATGTAGGAGAGAGAATAAAAAGAGAAAGAGAGAAACAGGGATAGAAACAGAGAAACAGAGGAAGAGAGAGGTGCAGAGAAAGAGAGAGAAACAGAAAAAGAGAGAGATACAGACAGATAGACAAATGCTTTATTTAATTTCCGAACTGTCTGCATGGATGATTTGATATGATTTGATTCAATTTTCCTGACACAGTTCCAGCAGTGTTTCTGCAGATCGTTCACCTCCTGGATGAGGCAACATCCTGAGCTATATACTGCCCTCGCTCACATCAATTCATCGGAGCGAACAGCGCCCCCAGAGCTCATCACAAAGGGGCTCAGATTCCTGGTAAGTTATTCAATTTTATGACACTCACTTTAGCAGCAATAATCAAATTTCTTACTATGATTGTATTCAAACAACTATTTATGCATTCAACTCTAATCTTATACTTTATCTAATAAGAAATGTGCAGCTCATACAATAAATCTATACTGTTAACAAAATAAAGCTTGGAGTTAAATAATGCTGTGCAGGCTGTCATGATCCATTCGACCCAACCCATTGGCTTGTTTTGGTATAATTTTTCAGGGATCTCCGGGATTGTGACCTTAGATAATGGATATAAAGGCTTATTCTATTAGTATTTTTTTTGTTGTTGTTGCGTTTTTGCGTTTTTAATGGCCAAGGGGTTTATTATGTCACACTGTAACTCTTGTTTTTCAATCTAAGAGTTAAAGAGCCTATACAGATCACCAAATATAGACGTTTCTTGGGCATCAGTTAGTTCCATGCACCAACAATTCAGGGAACCATTCAGGCTAATTTCTTACAAATAAAAATTACTTTCCCAGATTACTCTATTTATTGAGCATAGCCGAAAGCAAGATATACCATAAAACAAAGCTAAAGATGTCTGATTTTCTTGACTCGTTGGTTGTCCATAGGTTGCGGATGACTTCGTTGGTCTGGACGTACTCCGCTCTCAGAGAGAGGTTGGAACCTCAAACTTCCGCAAAGTGCCTGGCCTACCTGTATATGGTATGGCACAACCCAGCAGTAAGGTGGGTACAGTCAATTGCAGAACCAAGATTCACAAATAATAATAATAAAGGATAAAAATAGTCACATCTGTATAGCGCTTCATACTACATTTCTAAGCGCTTTAAATTGTAATTATTATTAGAGTAGGGAAGAAAGGGTAGGAAGAGAGTAAAGCGTTGGTCACATCCCACCGTGCGTGTTTTTAGTCCGTACGGTTTTTGGGGAGGCCATGGCCGCCACGTTTTTCTGAAAACGTAGGGAGGGAGTGGCAAAGGCAGGGAGGGAGTACCGGCAAAGCACGTCACACGCACTGTGTAAGTACGTGGCCCGCATGCCACGCCTGGCCGTGAACGGTTGCGTGCATCGTACGTTGCGCACGTGGTAAGTGCGTTGTACGTGCTTACAACGTGCTTACAACGTACGGTCTCCGTGCGGTTGCCACGTTATCGTACGGAGGCCGTACTTACAAGTGCTGCTCACGTACGGTGTCCTTACTCACTCGCATGTTGTAAGTGCGTGCACGTGCGATTAACTCGGTGTTTATATAGGATGACATTCTGATGTTCTCCAGAAGTCCCAGCTGTTGCTGCCTCAAGATGCCGCCCATTCCACCGAAGAGACTATATACTGCATAAATCAGTGCGAACAACGTGCGTTGTAAGTGCTTACTCGGTACGGTCCACGTGAGTTCTGCATGCTCATCGGATAGCTGAACTTGGGAAGTGGCGAGTAAGCAAGGACCACGCACTTATCACGTGCGCCTTTAAAAGAAGCACGGAGTCAGTGCGTTGTGCGCTCGTTGGCAGTACCGGGCACGCACGTCACATGCACTGGGGTGAATCGGTAGCCCGAACGCAGCCCGAACGCAGCGAAAGTTCCTCGTGCACTAAAAGTGCTACGGTGTGTCTGCGTGCTCCCAAATCCGTACGGAGGCGGTACTCATCACGTACGAATACCCAAATTTTGCCCACGTTTTTGCACGTAGACAGCACGCACTTGCAAGTACGGCGGGATGTGACCACCGCATTAGACAAGCTGACAGGTGCCTGTCCATCCATCTATCAATGCATTTATTCATTCATTCATTCATTCATTCATTCATTCATTCATTCATTCATTCATTGAATGTTAATCGAGCTATGCTATATTTGATTACATATTTTATAGAGAGTTTTATGTTTTCTCAAAGATGCACCTCCATTCTTCTGTCCTTGATTAGAGCGATTTATCAATCCATTTAATAATTAATAATAATAACAACAGCAACAATAACAACAGCAACTACAACAACAACACAATAACAAGAATGATAAAAATAATAATAGTAATATGTCATATTTACCCAGGATAGCCTCATCAGTATTATCAGTTCTTCCTGAAGGCTCTGCAATCATATTATTACCCCGGCTTTAAATAATTAATGCCTGCCTTTATTCATTTAATCACTCATTTATTCCACAAATCATACTGTTCTACATACTCATTGCAGGGTCTGGAGCGAGTCTGTCAGTATCTTCTCTCCAAGAAACACGGCCATTCCTCCATCCATTCCTTCAACCTACGAGGAGAGATGATCATTCAGTGCGATTCTACCACTTACACTCCCAGAGAGCTGGCATCTCTTGATAAGAACATATCTGTCTCCGGCCTCTCAGAGAGAGATGTAGAGGTACATTAAACAATATTTTGTATTGTCCTGTCATGTCTTGTTTATCTTGTCCTGTTATGAATTGTTTTGTCATGTCCCGTCTTATCTTATTATGTCAGTTTCCTGTTCTTTGTGTCCCGTTTTGTAATTCTGTTCTTTTTGTATATTTCGATTATTTAGACACTTAAAAAGGGTTTATGAAAATATGTTATTATATTATATCTATTTTAAAGACACTTAATAATAATAAAATAACATATATTATAATTTTGAACTTACTTTTTCAACTATGTTCTTTATAGTGCTAACAATTGATATATGAAATGGAATAAATTCAAATCAATTAATCAATAGCAGTAGGCCTACAGTGTCTCAATTTAGTGATTTTTTGCATTATCTTAAAGATAAACTTGAGTTCTGGTAATGCGATTGCATTGTAATAAAAAGGTGTGGAATGGATCAGAAAAGTTGATCATATAGCATGTAAGTAATGTTGTTTAATCAGTGCAAGGTTCTGGAGTCATCAAAATCATCATAAATTTGGACACCAGATTGTATTACATCCTCTTTGAAAACCTTTCACTCATTGTGCCAACTTATGAAATGTGCTCTGACCTTGTGTGTTATACTCTTCCATCCCAGTCAAGTATATGAAATATTGTAGAAATATTTGTTCTTCAACCCTATTTACTGTACCATTATATTTACAAGCAATCAATCTGTATTCTGTATTTTGTAATAATGTAAATTGTGTAGAGACCTCAACCTGGGGTTTTGTGGGGCTTAGGTCTGCAAGATATTGTTGTGTATCAACGAAAAATCACAGTTTAAATTGTTATCATAGCATACAGCCTTTGACAGAGAATGTTTAAATATATTTATTTTTCAACAGAAGAAGGAAATACAGCTGAAGAATGAGATCTTGAGATCAAAGCATTCAATTCAGGTAAGGAGGGAGGGAGAGGGAGAGGGAGTGGGAGAGGGAGATGGAGAGGG